AGCTTTGCGCAGTGGCAGTATCGTAGCCAATGAGGTTTATCCGAGGCGCGATTATTGCTAATTGAAAACTTTTCCCAATACCCCGCCATGACGACTTGAAATATAGTCGGCATTGGCAATTTTTGACAGTCTCTACGGAGACTGAATAATTTTGTTTCTAAAGAAAGATTGTTTTTGTTCTTTTGAATCATGAGTGTAGTAACCGAGTCCGCTCTGAATACTTGAATAGTCTTGTTCTTTATACTTATCGACTCTCAACTATGTTGAGGGTCAGGTTTGTGATTATTTTTACTTCGATGTAGGTAGGGTATGGTTAAATTGCTGATTTTTCTAGGCGGAGCTGTAATTTGGAGTCTTTGTACACTGCGTAAATGTAGTACTACGTTTGAGAACTTTACATCATAGGGTAAGCCTATATTTAGTGTGGTGCTCTTTTTTTTTTTATTTGGTACCGGGGATCGAACTCGGGTCCTTGCTTTTTTTGTTTTGTTTTTTGTTTTTTGGTACGGGGGATTCAACTCGGGTCCTTGCGCTTGCGAGGCAGGTGGCGGAACCACGGAGCTAAATCCCCGGCCCTAGTGTGGTACTCTATTTATTCACGTCATTCACGCAGTCTGTTTCCATTTCCACGACGCGGGGCATACGGGGTCACTGATGGGCAGAAATTGAAGAGAACTCTTAAACCATCCCACATAAAGTTTTTTCAAAATGATCTAGAGGAGAGCAGAGGCAAACTTTACCAGAACCAACGGTGCAGTTTACCTTCATTTCGGGACATGCAGGCAAGAGCTCTACCACTACCTCATCCCCATTCCTTTTTTTTTTTTTTAATACAAACAAATTTGATGTATAATTGCCATTCATACAGTAATGTGCACATATTTAAGGCATTAATTTGATAAGTCACTATAATTCAGGTCATGAAATCACTCCCAAAAGTTACCCCGTGTTCCTTTGTAACCCCACTCTCCCACGTGCCCCACTGTCTCATGTCTCCCAACTCTTCCTCTCCCATCTCTCCCCGTTACCCAAACCCCCCAATCCCAAGCAATCACTGCTGTGCATTTTTTTCCCTAGTACTGGGGATTGACCCAGGGCCTTCACACTGAGCTATATCCCCAGTCCTTTTCTTGAGGCAGTTCTCACTAAATTGCTCAGATTAGGCTTGTACTTGTGATCCTCCTGTCACAATTTCCCAGGGTGCTGAGATTACAGGTGTACACCAGTGTGCTGAGCTGTATATGACTTTTTAAAATTGACTTTTTTCATTAAGCATGATATTCTTTTTTTTTTTTTTTGGAACCGGAGATCGAACTCGGGTCCTTGTGCTTGCGCAGCAAGCGGCGAAACCACTGAGCTAAATCCCTGGCCCAAGCATGATATTCTTGAGGTCCATTCAGGTTTTACATATAAATAGTTCATTCTTTTTTCTTGCTGATTATTCATTACATGGAAACACCAGTTTGTTCAACCTTTCACCCACAGAAGGACATTTGGGTTGTTTGCACTATTTTGTCAATACAAATAAAACTGCTAAGAATATTCCTTTTTTTGGGTCAGGGATTTAGTTCAGAGGTTCCGCTGCCTGCCTCACAAGCACAAGGTCCCAAGTTTGAGCCCCAATACCAAGAAAAAAAGAATATTCCTTTTAAAATTTTTTATTGGTAAATATTTACAGTACATAATGATTACATTCACTGTGGGGAGTTGGTACATGTACATAACACATATAAATTCTTTTTTATCCCCTTTTCTTCCTCCAAAACTGATAATATTCCTGTACAAATTTTTGTGTGAGCCTAGGTGTTTGTTTGCTTGTCTATTTGTCTGAGACAGGGTCTCACTTTGTAGATCAGGCTGGCCTTGAACTCACAGCATCGTCCTGCCTCACTCTCTTGAGTGCTGAGATTACAGGTGTGCACCACAGTACCCAGAGGAACCTAGGTTTTTGATTCCTTAGGATAAATGCCCAAGAGTATGACTGCTGCATCATATGGCAAGTGCATGTTCAATTGTGTAAGAAACTGCCAAATTATTTTCTGGAGTGAAATAATGAGTTATTCTGTGAGAATACTGTGAGAGAGTTGAGTCCACCATGGTGTGACAGTGGTGGGACAGAAGGCTAGGATGACAAAATAAGCTCCTGAGCACAGTAGCATGGCAGGTTGCAACAGACCACTCTGAGACCCTGATCAAACCACAGAAGCAGAATGTTTGCAAAGAATGAGAAACTGTTACCAAGAAGAAGGAAACTAATTAAGCATGTCAATTATAACAGTTACTTGTATTACTTCCTGGGGATCTAAAGACATTTTTGTTTGTTTGTTTTCAGAACTGGGGATTGAACTCATGGCTGTTGCACCGAGCCACATCTCCAGCCACCACCACCCCAACCTCTTTTAAATTTTGAGACAGGATCTTGTTAAATTGCTAAACGGAATTTGCAGTCCTCCTGCCTCAGCCTCCCAGAGTGCTGGGACTACAGGGATGTGCCCCCATGCCCAGCCCCGAAGGCCTCTTTTGCTGAAAAACATTGACCCTTCACTTCAGCCTTCAGAGGTCTGATGAGTGAGTAAAATGGATAAACGGCGTGGCACCTCTGTCTTCACATTGGGTCCGTCCCCTTTGTTACCTTAACCTTTGGCTCAGATTCTCCTCAGCTCGTTACACAGACATGGTGATTATTGGAAAATGTTTTGACCAAGGCTTTAATACAGGGCTAACTTGACCTGTTCCCCATTGGAGCTTCTATGTGTTTTCTTTTTCTTTTTCCTTCTACTCTTTTCTGTCCCCAGTCTTGTGCTTCTCCAGAAGCCACTAAAGCCCAAACATCTGCAGCCCTTGGGCTCTGACAGGGTCCAGCCTCTCAAGGCCAGGATGTTTAGAACAGGATGATGGTGCCAGATACATGAACATTCAACAGCCTCTAGGAGGAGCTGACCCTGACCACCCAGGCCAAGTCTGCCCCAAGAAGAAAGTTTTTGGTACCATGCTACTGGCTAGTGGGAATTATCAGACTTTAGCCGCAACTCCAGCAAATCAATACAAACCTGTGTGCTCTTTGTTCTGTGAGCAGCCACTTGATCAATTTCTCTACCAGTTGCTGAGTCCCTTCAGCCAAAGTCTCAATTTGGCCAAAGCTCCCCACCCGTTATAAAACTTTGCCTGTGCAAAAGTGGGTGTGGTCTCAATGTTTGGCCTAATTTTATTTCCTTTTTCTTTTCTTTTTTTTTTTTGGTACTGGGGATCGAACTCGGGACCTTGTGCTTACAAGGCAGGCAGCAGAACCACTGAGCTAAATCCCCGGCCCTGGCCTAATCTTATTTCTACCATGTCTGGGCCAAAAGATCCTGCCATAGCCAGGTGTAGTGGTGCATCCCTGTAATCTCAGCACTTGGGAGGCTGAGGCAGGAAGATTGCCAGAAGCTCGAGGCCAGCCTGGGCTACATAGTGAGTTCAAGCCTAGCCTGAATTATGTATCGAGACTGTCTCAAAATGAAATGAAAGATACCTTTGTTGGTATCAGCGGTACAATTTTGCATTTCATCTGCCACCTCCTCACATCTATATCAGTTGCCCTGCCTTTTTCTTTGTCTGTATTACATTGATTTTTTTTTCCTCTGTGCTGGGAATTGGACCAGGGCCTTGTGTATGCTCGGCAAGTCATCACCACTGAGCTGCACCTTCAGCCTATGACACTCCCCCCACCCCCAGGATCTCATATGTAGTTCGGGCTGACCTTGAACTCACTGTGTAGCCCGGCTGGCCTCAAACTCACATTGATCCCCTGTCTCAGCTTCCTGAGTGCTGGGATTATGGACATGCACCACAATGTCTAGCACTGATTTTTTTTTTTTTTTTAGCACAAGCAATCATCTTATAGAATGTCCCACATTCTGTCTCCATTTAATTGTGTTCCCATTGTGTATTTAGCATGTTCCTCTGCCCCTTATATTTATTGAAAAGTGGGAGTTACACCTTGCAGTCTGATTAGGTTCAGGTTAAATAGTTTGGCAAGATAAAGGTTGGAGGGGGCCAGGGATTTAGCTCAGTGGTTCTGGTGCCTGCCTCCCAAGTGCAAGGTCCCAAGTTCGATCCCCAGTACCAAAAAAAACAAGAAAGGGTGGGGAAGCACTCAGTGGCAGAGCACTTGCTTAGCGTGCGTGAGGCCTTGGGCCCCATCTGCAGGTGCTGCCAAAATAAAATATTTTTTCCATGTGTGGTGGCACAGGCCTATAATCCTAGCACTCAGGAGGCTAAGGCAGGAGGATTGCTTTGAGTTCAAGGCCAGCCTAAAATGATAATACAAGTCTGAACTGCATAGTGAGACACAAACACACACACCCAGCGCCATACTGGTTGCACCTCGCTTGCTCTGAGCTCCGGGCTCCTGCTAAGCTAGCATGGCCACGTCTCCTTTCAGCTGCTATCATGATTATCTACCTGGTCCTCATCAGCCATGATGAGATGTTCTCTGACATTTACAAAATCCAGGAGATCACGGAAGGGCTGTTCCTGGGGGTGGAGGGGTAGATGCTCAGTAGAACAGAGAGTAACACTGATGACTCACTCATTGGTGGAAACACCTCCAATGAAGGCCCGGAGGGTGAAGGTACCAGAAGCACAGTAGTCGCTGGTGTTGATACGGTCATGAACCATCACTTGTAGGAAGCCAGCTTCACAAAAGAGGCCTACAAGAAGTCCATCAAAGATGATATGAAATCAATCAAAGACAAACTTGAAGAACAAAGACCAGAAAGAGCAAAATCTTTTATGACAGCAGCTACAGAACAAATCAAGCACATCCTTACTAATTTCAAAAACTATAAGTTCTTAGGGCTGGAGATTTAGCTCAGTGGTTCCACCACCTGCCTTGTAAGCACAAGGTCCCAGTTTGATTCCTGGTACCACAACAACAACAACAAAAACTATCACTTCTTTATTGGTGCGAACATGAATCCAGATGGCATGCTTCCTCTCCTGGACTACCGTGAGGATGATATTGACCCCATTTATGATTTTCTTTTCTTTTTTTTTTTGGTACCAGGGATCAAACTTGGGTCCTTATGCTTGTGCAGCAGGCAGCAAAACCACTGAGCTAAATCCCCGGCCCCTTTTATGATTTTCTTTAAGGATGGTTTAGAAATGGAAAAATGTTAATGGATTCAGTGGTTACCTCGGATCTATTACTTGTCATAACTAGCTTGTCATCCATAAAACACCAGGATTTTATTTGTTTTTGTTTTTGTTTTATTTTGTTTTGGTACTGGGGATTGAACTCGGGTCCTTGCCCTTTGAAGGCAGGAGGCAGAACCACTGAGCTAAATCCCCAGCCCAACACCAGGAGTTTAGACAAATGGAACTGATGCCATCTTGAATGTTTTGTTTATGTTGATTGTGATTTATTTGGAGTGAAGACATTGTTTTTTAGAGAAAAAAACAAAACATGTCATGTAAGCTGTCTAAAAATAAAGCACATTTAAATTTATTTGAGAGAATGCCTCTTTGGGCCAGTGATTTAGCTCAGTGGTGCCATGCCTGCCTCACAAGCGCAAGGTCCTGAGTTTGATCCCTGGTATCCACCCCCCCCAAAAAGAGAGAATGCCTCTTAGTTTAGTACTTGTATAAACTAAATCCATCATAGTGTATGTGGAGAAGAGAGAGGGGGATCACAGACCACTGCTAGAAAGCAAAAAACCGTCTTCAGATAACTTCTCCAGTGAAAACTACTTCTGGGACTGGAATATAAGACAAGAATCAAAGTTTTAATTGTGAGTTGCAGTGAAAGGGAAAAGACCATGTTCATAGAAGTAACAGCATTTGAAGTGGAGCCTTACGTATTTCATCACCTAAAGTGGAAGTGGTTAACCTGGAAGAGATAACCAAAAGAATAAAAAGATTGGGCCGGGGATCTAGCTTAGTGGTTCCGCTGCCTGCCTCGCAAGCACAAGTTTAAAAAAAAGAATAAAAGGCCAGGGATTTAGCTCAGTGGTTCCGGCACCTGCCTCACAAGTGCAAGGTCCCGAGTTCAATCCTCGGTACCAAAAAAAAAAAAAAAAAAAGAATAAAAAGACTAACTCAGTTGGAAAAAAAAATAGAATGGTCAATGCCCCAAAGATGTAGCTCAGTGGCGCCACATCTGCCTGGCAAGCACAGGGTCCAGAGTTTGATTCTCAGTATGGGGGTGGGGGCTAATAATAATAGTTTAAAAGGGCCAGGGATTTAGCTCAGTGGTTCTGGCGCCTGCCTCGAAAGTGCAAGGTCCCAAGTTCGATCCCCGGTACCAAAAAAAAAAAAAAAAAAGTTAAAAAAATGTTTTTTTAAAAAAATAGAATGGTTAGACCGGGGATTTAGCTCAGTGGTTTCGCTGCCTGCTGTGCAAGCACAAGGACCTGAGTTCAATCCCCAGTACCAAAATAAATAAATAAATAAATAAGATAAATAAATAGAATGGTTAAACCACCTCTGAACAGTATAGCGTCTGTACTTGCTTACTGGGTTGAAGGAGGTGGGAGAGAAGAAATTGTGAAAGATGTTTCAGTTAAGTGTATGGTAGAAAATTCCAGCTTATCCATTGCTCTTATGTTACATGTTTTTCATTTAACTTTGCTATACTGTATATACAGTGTATATACTGGACATATGAGTCCTAATTTTATAATATCTAATCTCTAGATATTAAAGTTTCCCAGTGTATGACAAAAAAAATGAACAATTATACTCTACATGTAGATCTGATACTTCTCTTTATTGCTGCTAAACCGTACATCTTGGACACATTTTCCGTGTCCTCACTCACCTCCCCTTTCTTTCTGTGTGGATAAACCCTGCCAACGTTATTCAGTCCCCTGTGGATAGACACATAGGTTGCTTCCAGTTTCCCCCATCATACAGTGCATTCTTGGGACTGTATCATCTTTCCCCACCGGCAGGCTATTTCTAGAGGAAATTTCTAAAGGTGGGGTTGCCTGCTCAAGGGCCATGTATACTTTGCGTTTGGAGGGCTACCCCTATTTTGACATTTTGAACAGCTGTATGAAAAGATGGAGACGATGTTTGATTAGTGTGTTCAGAAGTGTCTGTTGCACAGCTCTCCTGTGGCTTGTGTGGTTTGGGGAAGAGCCCGGGAAGGAAGGCGACTTCCTCCCCACTGTCCTGAGCTGCTCCCTGGCTCTGAAGTCCAGACCCTACACTTGTTTGCCCTCCTGCTCTTTTCCAGGCAGGGAGTATGGAAAAGAGGCTGGACTGGGTGAGGTAACCTTGGTTTGGAGGAAGGAAGAATCTGAGTCATCCCAAACTGACCTCTCCCCCTCCACCCTGTAAGGAAACATCCCAGAGATGCTGCCCTAGATGGACCCACCCACTGGTCTCCCCAGCCTGCCTGCACTCCAGGCTCCAGGGATGCAGAAGCCACCTTGGAGGCTACTCGGTGGTGAAGGGGCCCCTCGACCCCAAACAGTCTGCTCAGTGTCTCAGTGTTTAAGTCCCTACAGGATGTTTGCAAGAATCGCCAGTTTCTAGGTTAAAAATATCCCACGCCTGAGGGCCCCTCCGTGTCTGTCTCAGAA